TATTTGGATATATTTGCTGGTGACCTGGAGTTTTGGATGGGCTTTGGCTGGAAAATCTTTCTTACAGAGATTGTTTTCCTGTTTCATAATAGGAGAAATTTAACCCTTCTAAGAAAAGACAACTGGGGTCTTATTTCTGTGATGATGCCAGTAATAACAATTACTATTTTTTTTTGTCCAGTCTTTCAACACAAATCACATTTTGTACAAAATATATTTTTTTTCCTAAAAATATTTAAATTCATTTCAAAATGCAGTGGGAGTTTTGACACTGGTTTAATGGTTGTGGTATCAGCCCCTTGAGGGGGAAAAGGCAGTATGTTCTCCTTTGATCCTCTATTCATCTTCTTGCTCTTGTTATCTTCATTTCAGTGAGTCTTTTTTGTATGATGATGAAGTTGCTGTCCTGACCTCAGAACCTCTGTCCTGAGGTTCTGGCCTTCTCTCGTTTTGATACATGGGAGCATTAACTTTTTGGCACAAGTATTTGAAGCAACTTTCTCTGTGCTGGTAGTATGGCCTCTGGAAACACTTCAGGTTCACAGGAAGGAGAACAGAATTCTGGAGACGTGAAAGAATCTTAGGTGTAATTTTTGCCTCAATGATGCATCTGTAAGTTTCTTCAGGATGTGGGGAAGATGGGGCTGAAAAGGTATGTTTTTAAAATTCAGAAGATCAGTGGGCTCTTCACTGCTGAAATTCCATAATCTGTATGGCCTGATGGGGCTTCAGTTATAATACTGTGATTGAAATACCCAATGTCTTCCATTCATATGGTTTCCCCTCTGCAAAGATATATGGTGAATATGTTTGACATGCTAATATAGCACAAGATCTGTTGCTGTCCAGTACAGAGCAGCTGAGATGTTAGGAAGAGATATATCAGTATGGCCAAAAGAGATAACAAGAAATTAGTTTTCCTACTCATGTCACAAGGAAACAGTGATATGTCTTGCAGCCAGCCAGATGCTGGCTGAACAAACAAACCTCACAATATTGCACTCTTGAGCTGGTGTGCAACAAAGTAAGCAAGTGCCAGGACTGGAGACCATCCTTGGAAAGGCCTTGGCCTTTCCCAGGAATTATTCCTTGTGTGCATCACAGTCAATTCCAAGTGCTGCAGTAAGAAAGAATCATGCCTCATGCCTCAGACCTTTCCAGATCCTATAGGAAAGAGCTAGTTCCATGAACCACATCCATATGCTGTCAGAGCTGGCTAACCCCCCATGTAGTCAAAACTGCAAGCTGAATAACTGAAACCTTGCATCAGATCTGGAAAACAAACTGTTCTGTTTCATACCCCGTCACCATCCCCAGTACGAATAGCAGGGATAACACTTCAGCTGGCAGCATTGGCCATGAGGTTTAACAGAATGCAGCTTATTCTTCCATGACTCTCAGTCCTGGAGTGTTGACAGCAAGAGACTAGAAGTGGGCCAAGGAAATTGATGCTGGATGTGAGTCAGGTACAAGGCTGAATTCGGCTTGGATTTAGTATTATTGAAATACCACAGGTGGTTTCTGTTAGGATTTGGCCTCATATTGAAAGACTGAAGTTAGGTCAGCTGTTCAGTGAGATCCAACATTGAATTCTCATGAGCATGGTGAACTGACTGAGATTTCAGTCACACCTGAAGCAAAAAATTGTCCCTTTCCTGTTTGGATGTGAACTTGGGACCAGAAATCACAGGGGCAGGTGTGAAGTGTACACAGACATAAGAGTAGGCTTGGGTGTACACACGTTTTAGTTTTCTTTAGCTTAAATGGGATTTGTACCAATGAGCTATAACGTGGGGCTGACATTTGGTCCTGTGAGTGGAGGTTGACCCTTTACCTTGTTAATCCAAGAGAGGTTGTTTTATCAACTTCCAGTTGGTCGCAGAGGAACCTCAAGGTTTAAGAAAAGCCGTGAGAATGTTTGAGACTGTAAGTGAGAAACCGCAGCAGCTCATCAGCTCGTAAGTTATGTCCATAAATGCATTGAGGCTAAGCCACGTTGGGAGCACTCCACAGCCTACCGAGGATGGGTGCTGAGACACCTTTTATGCAGCTGGCTCTGGTTTATCCCATGCTTTTTGCACCTTGCATTGCTTGTGACTGTTCTGACAGATACAGATGTTATAAAAGACCCACTGATATAAAGCAAGGGACTTTACAAGATGTTCGGTTTGCTATGTGTTGCTCAGGATTGGATTTTGCTAACCTGGTTTGCTTAGAAATGCTTTGGAGAAGTGCCAGAGACTGGAGCAAGATGGAATTATATCCACGATGAGGTATGAGCAGAAAATGGTCATGCTCCCATACTTCCAATATTATCCCACAAAGCAAGGATGATTTCTATGCTTTCCAAGGCAAGGCATATAAAAGGAGAAAAATATGCCTGTGCTGGGTCAAACTGGTCAGCTAGGAGCCCAGAGAAAGCTGTTGATGTGAGATACAGGCTAGAGGCAACATGACCAAACTTTGATGCCATAAGGCTCTGGAGAATGAGTCATGTCATACTTGTCTCGTTTGTTGTGGAGTAACATTACTCCCTTTTTTCCCCTATTTTATCAGTATAGACAGGCAGTTCCTTCTGATAGCTTTCACGTATACTTTTGAAGTGCTGAAGAGGCAGAGTTGGAATTGACTGCCTTTTGTATAGGTATATGTATTAGAGTGGCAACACTTTTCATTTCCTAGCCCACATACTGAGAAGTCCTCCTTTGAATGACACAGAGACTGTAAAATCCAAGCAACAAAGCTCTTAAGTGAGAAAGTAGGAATTACCAAGTGCTATGGAGCACAGACTGGACTTAAAGATGGAAGAAATTAAATATTTCCTTGTCTATTTGGACACCAGAGGAATTTGTACTGGCTGCAGGGACAAGGGATAGCACCAGACGCATCCTTGATTTTATAGGCTCAGAATCTGCTGTGCTATTGGCCACTCTGTCACTGGTGATTTGATCCAGTTGGGTCATTAATTAGCTAGTTCACTAGCTCATTTGCAAGCGAATCTATGATTTAATAATTGTACTCAATTATGCTTGATCAGTTTGACAGCAAAAAAAGTGACAGTTACTTCATGGAGAAGCTGTCTGGTTCATTAATTTCTAATCAATAAGTAGCATAGCGGTCTGGGGTTTATTCTTTCGAGTTTGAGCAGTGCCAGTCACAAAGGGACGGATTTTGAGTTAGTTGACTCTGTTTCTAAAAGAAGACTTTTATCCTTCACGCTAGTTTGATTTTAAATATTCAGCCTGCCCTCGTCCCCCTCCTCCCCATGCACAGAGGATTTGGAGGAATCTGAATCTCAGCATCTGGTTTTTGCTATCCGTAGCCAGTAAAATAATAAAATACGGCTTCCAAAATACACAAGGTGTGCAAGAGCTGGTTTTTACCAAAAGGCTGTTTTTTTGCAGAGTCATTTTTTGCTTCTAGCTACATACTACCAAATCCTTGAGGGATCTGTAAGATAGATTTGTGGAGCCAGAGGGTTGGTTTTGGTTTGGTTTTGGGGCTTTTTTAATCCCCTTGAATTTCACCTGTGTTTCTGAGGTTGAATCATAAACAAATAGAGTTTCTATTAAACAAAAAAGAGAAGTACAAATCCTTATTCTCCAGCCCTGGGGTTTACCCAGGTATGCAGCAATATCATTTTATCACTGAAGCATCCATTGTATTAGAAAGCCCCGTTTGCCTGAGCTTAAGCCCCCGGCTGTCAGATAGAGCTGTTTCAATTTCCCTCAGTCATTCCTGCTACGGATTGTATATTCAAGGGAAAATCCTCCCCGCAATACTGGACATGCCACGCTCTAGGCCGACTGACGTTTATTAACTAATACGAAGTTGCAAATGATGTACCAACACAGTTAAACAAAAGAGCCCAGTGTTGAGCCTAAATCAAGGTCCTAAATCATAAGCCGTGGTGTGACAAACTGCACGATGTTTGCCAGTACTTTTAAAATGGGGCTTTCTTGCCAGGCTGAGAATCCATAGAGCCCAGCCAAAGAAAACAATGGGAGGGAGCCAGGGTTCTCCCAAGCCTTGGCATGAAATCCACAATAGTAGCTTTGGCTGAGGTCCATGGACTAGAGCACATGCTCCATAAGGTCACTTCAGAACACCATAATTACTTGGTATTTACTTCAGTGCTTTTTGCAGACAAAAATAATAATAATAATAATTAAAAAAAATAAAACAAGTGCCACCAATGCAGCTTAGGGACTCTGTTAGGATGCCTGGCCTTTGCTATCTTGGATTGCCCTGTCACTGGTACTGTCTGATAGAGTGGGCAAGCGTGGTCCAAACAGCTAGATAATAGTGATGATAAATACTACAGCACGCTTGGGGAGTAAGAGTGGACTTTATGTCCTGGCTTGTCCTTGGACTTGTCAGCAGTGTTTGTTATGGCCATTCAGTCGCTGTTTACTGGCCACTGGGGGTTGAATTCGGGGGTCACTGCTGAGTTCACCTAAGGCAACCCTTTGCTTTTTCAAATATCCTCTTCTCTGCATCCTCTCCTTACCGGCATCCTGCTGGAAAGGTCAAGATCTGAGCAGGTAGTCTGGACTGGAAAACAGCCCCAAATCCAAAGCCTGGTTCTGAGCAACTCAGAGCAGTACAGGGGGACTGAAAAGACAAGTTCATTCCAAATTTCAAAGCCTGGATTGGATGGTGCAAAATCCCCCTCTCATTCAACATACTTGTTCCCAAAGCTCACAATTCAGGAGGTTTGCTAGCAGGACCTTATAATGACTCTTACCCCTAGAAATGATCCTTCCAGGGTAGGGGAAAGCATAGAGCTAAAGAACCTTGTCCTGCCCCTGCCCAGGGCTGTTTCTGCCCTTAAACATGAAGTCTCCAGGACTCAGGCTCAATTCACTGCCACTCAGTCTTTGCTATTTACATTTAAAGAAAAAAAAAAGCCACATTTGATTATTCAGCATTCTCCTTTTACATTTTTATTGCTATTTGCAAAACGCCTCTGAAGGGCAGAGGAAACCTTTCTGCTTGACAAAGTTAATATTTTAGCACTTCATAGTGTCTTTAGACAAAAATGTCCAACATGCATATGTGTTTTGGCATCTCTGCGTGTGGCCTCTGCTCTGCCTCTGGCCTTGAGTAGCAAAAGAATGAAAGAAAAAAAGAAATACCAGCTTAAACTGGGTCAGCACTGTTGCCTTTATTTTTGTTGATAGCTCTATTTGGGATTTATGCATTGATAGAGGAGAAGCAGGGAAAAACATATGCCCCAAGCACATGTCCTTGAAAAGCAATGTCACATCTTAATTTTCTTGGGCTGACGATGCACGCATTCTACACTTTCTGTGATGCGGAACTAATGAAGATAGAAGTGCAAGAAAACCTATAATCAAATCCAGTACATACCAGGCATAGCACACCAAGAAACACACCCGTCTGAAATCTCATGGTGCTGGAAGGAAAATCCAGGCCATGCAACCATGACAGCCCAGTATTTCTAGCTGGTGATTTTTTAGACGTGTTTTTCTGCATCCACAGAAAAACAAAACCAAGGAAAAGTGCTTCCTGGCATTGCTTTGTGTCAAATACTTGTAACCAGTGATATTCTGAGAGTGGCTCAAATACGCAGAAGCGCAGTTGTTAGGAAAAACTAAAGGCGTGAATTGAACATTTTCTTCTGGTCATTCAGGATCTGTTTCCCTGTGTCTTAATCCCTTGTGTACGTCCCAGGAGCTCTGCACACATAAACTGTGTATTGCTGATACCATGGTGATGATTAGTAACCCCAAAAGAGACCAGCCTTTTTGGCCAGGACACTGTGTGAGCCCAGACTGAGGGCGGCTTGCTCTGGTGCACAGCCTGGTCAGCTCTGCCTGCTGGTGCCAGCACTCTCCTATCTGCCTGTTTCCACCTGTTTTCTTTTGTTTTAGGGTGTAAGTGTTTCCTGGGAGAAGTGGATTGAGTTTTTTTACAGATTTGTGTGCACACAGGGATTTGCACAATGAGATCCTGGTATCTGAGGCTGGTTTCTGTAGTAGTACCTACAGCAGCAGGGGTAGAAATAATAGTAGTAGTAGTAATAATAACCTAAACCAACAGCTGGTGGGAGAGGAAACAGAAATGTGATGTGACTTTCCAGGTGTCACATAACAGTTCAGCGTCAGAGCCCTGAAAATGAAATCCCCGTGTATCCTGCCTGCCAGTCCAGCACTCTGGGCTGGAGAAGACAGCACTGGCTGCTGACGTCTCCTGATCTGGGCTGATTTACAGCCTGTGCAGATTCAGGGAGAAAGAAATGAGTAATACAAATCGCTCTTCATAACTGTGGATTTCCATTTTTGCTGCGTTACTTTAAACCCTAATCTTAAAAGCCTGCTAACCTTCAATCCTGTTAAACCTAACCCTGTAAATCCTGTTATCTTCTACCCTATACTATTGTAACTTAGCCAGTGTCTTAGCTGCAGTGTGCTTTGAGAAAGTGGCTAGCTGCTGGGGCATCAGCTCAGGAGCTCTGAATTAGTGTATTTACAAGTACCCATTTTTATCAGAGATCACCTGAAAGTCACTTTGCTTCTGTGTCTTTAGGTGCTCACTTGTAAAATAGGAATCTCAACTTGTCTGACAAGTGTTAGATAAATGGACAGAAATTTGGGGATGGCCCACACTTCTTAGCTTGTGGTTTTTATTACCAGGATTTCTTAACCTTAGTGATTTCCAAATGCCATCCATCTCATATGGCTGATCCCTGCCAGCCACCTGGGACCTGCTCTGGGTTACTTTGTGGTCAAATGGTTCAGTTGTCACAAGGAAGTTATTTGTACTTGTGTGCAGTGGTCCCCCACCCTCTTCTCAGAAAATGGGCTGATAGAACAATGCTGCATGATCGTCAATCCATCCTCTGAAGACTTTAGTCCTTCGAAGTAAAAGTGAAATGCTCACCTTGTATTGGCTCCTCTCACTGTGCTACACCATAGTTTGTGATCTGCTGGGCTCCCACTCCCTTCTTCTCAAGCACGCCTGGTGAGCTCCTGCAGAGACAGACATTTCTTCATCTTCCCACTGTCTCAGTCTTGAAGGGAGTCACTGTGGAGAATGTCACAGCACTGTGTTGTTGTCATTTTGCAAGAGTGTTAAAGTTAACTCATGTTTGATGTTAGCTTTGGCAGGGCCAGGATCATACCAGCTGATGCTGTCTTGGACTGGGGAAGAACCTCTAGAGTTTCCAGTTATTTACCTACCACTAACCCAGTGAGTGAACCCATGTTTACACAGGCAAAAGCATGGAAGTGGTTAATCTGAGATGGTTGGGCAGGCGTCTCTCTGCCTGTCAGCTTTACATCCCTCCCAGATGTGACACCTGATAGGGAAGCCACTGGTGGGAACTGACAGAAGGATACAGAGGAGTCAGATAAGGAATAGCATGAAATTGTCTTTTGCTTCCCTGTGAGTGCAAGGGAAGAAACCAGCAGGTGTTTTCAAGGGGGAAATGTCTTGAACTGAACAGCAGAAACCCAATTCTCATCTCTCAGGATAGACTTCCTAAGCCTCTTGTGAACCTAACTTCTTGGCTCTAGCCAGCAGCTCAGTATGGTTGTTGAGTAGATTCAGATATCTGCACATCTGTAAATAATGAACGATAGCAATTACATGTACTTTCTGAAAGACAAAGCAGTACATTGAATACTGCTTGGAGGGAGCAAAGCCCAGGAGGACCAAGCTTAGGGCTGCTGATTTGAACCATCCCCTCTATTAGCACAGGGGCACAGTTGTCACGGTGGACTTGTCTGAAACCTAGTGCTTCCAGCCTTCATGGTTCCTTTTATTTCCGACTCTCCCGTTGTTCTTACTTGGGCAAAGCAAGGGCTGACTAATGCTGGAAGGATTTGCCTTTCCATTCCCTCCTTCCCTCTTTTGGCTTTCTTTGCAGAGCTCCTTTCTTTAAAAAAGACATGCAGCAGATTTGATTTACAGACCTGCAGAATGTAGAAGGGGAAACTGAGGCACGGGGAAAGGTACAGTACTGAATGGTGGCAGTGTCGGTGTGGGAGCGAGCAGCAGAACCAGGCAGAAGGCCAGGCTCTCCCGATTCCTCATCCTGTGCTCAAGTGTTAGAGATGGATGCCATTTCATTTCTGGCAAAATTAATAAATCCTTGCATGTGTTATCCCTGGCACATTTCATACTCATTTTCAGCTTGTGAAGAGCCACAGATAGCCTTCTGCAGTACAGTGGATTACAGAGTCTGGCTTACCTTTTGCACATTTGGATCCCCTGTGCTTGCCCATCCCAGGACCTGTTTGTATTGTACATTTAAACCCAACAGCGGGGAGTAGGTTCTGGTGCAATGAGTTCATACATGGAACCATGCCAAAGCTTAATGAGCAATCAGAAAGGTGAACGAACATTCAACATGCTTATTTGTGGCTGCTGCTGCTCCCAGGGGCGTCCTTTAACCCTCTGAGTTCAACGCTATATTATGCAAGTTTTGTTTTTGTGCTTAGTGGAGTGTGTAATTGGCCCTTCGGTGACTTGAACTCTCAATGTTCAAAGACCATTTGAGGAGCCAGGGGGGTGGAGGGGGAAACCCAAGCAGATAAGTGACCTATTTAGGCAAAGTTCACATTGATTTCACTTTCTGTTTGGTTTGCATAACTGCTGCTATTATGGGCACCTCTTCCTTCTGCACCAAACTCCAGAACTGCAGGCAGGAGGTTATCTTACTTCTTGGTTGCAAGTGACCTCTGTTATGTGGTGGAGCCTTCTGGGCACTGAGCTGATACACCTGGAGTCAGGTTCCAGCTAAAATAAGCTAGTAAGTGAAAATAATTGGCTTTTTTATCTCCAGCCAGCATAAAGTTCCCTAGTTCCTCATTCGGTATTCTGGACTATTAAGTGAAAAACTCAGAAGAGAGTTTGCTTGAGGATATCTAAAAGGATAAAAGTTCTGTTATTAATATGCATATATAGAGATGTACATGAAAATCATGATGAGACTGTTGCCATGTAGTGCCCTTGCCTTGCCCTCTCCTGCCAGCAGGCAGTAGACAGCAGACCTATCTCCCAAGGGGAGCTCCCAGGGTGATGTGGGAGGTTAATTCTCAGTTCCTGGGTTGCACAGGCACTTGGAGGGCAGTGGTGTTAGCCATGTAGGCAAAAAAATGCAGGAGAGAGGCCAGGTCTGTGCATCTGGACATTCAAATGTGGGCCATACAAAAATGACAGGTTGGAGAAAATAGAGGGATGTGCTGGCTTGGAGATTTGGCCCCAGACCAGGAACATTGCTGAAGGCAGGGTGGAAGCTCCCTGTTAAAGAAAAATGCAGCTGTGGTTAAGGTGGTTCTTGAGTGCAGTCTTTGTCCAGGCAATTCAAACAGAAACATGTAAACTTACACCTGCAAGAAGCACATTCGTGTGGGTCTGAGTCAAACCCCGTGGAAGTCGGGAGGAATCTTTCCACTGACTTCAGTGGGCTTTGAGTCCAGGTCCCCAGTGATTGGTTTGAAGTGACACATAGGCTATTTTTGTCTGTCATTTTTTTTTCCTCTCTGTATTTTCCAAGAGTACCAGAAGAGCAAGTAAAAACTTCATCTGTTTTGCTAAGGAAGAACTGAAGGCTCTATTATTCACCAGTATCCCAGGGCTGTCTGAAGAGATCATGGGCTGCATAGCCGCAAAATTGAGAGGTCTCTCTTTTTTTCTTTTAATGAGATAAGTAATCTAAGCTATTTACATTCTTGTTCTACAGATTGAACCAATGGAATGGAAAGATCTCTGGGAACATAACAAATGTGGTGTTTACTTGCTTTAGTGCATTACTGATTGCAGTAGGAGTATGAGATTTTTCTTTTTCTAAATTTGTAGAAACAGCTAACAAGTTCTGCGGTGATTTATGAAATAGGACGCTGGCCAGAAGTAGTCTAACACAATAACTGGCTGTATAGGCCTCACTGTGCCTTTTGGTTCTGTTTCCTTGAAGTTTCCTTTATCTTTTCTTCTTCACCCATATGTGGTGTTGGCTCTTCTGCGGCCATCAGGAATATGGATTAGCAAAGGCCTCCAATTCCATGATTGAGGCATTAAACATCAAATTCTTCTCTACTGCCTCACTGTAGGAGTTTCAGAGGAGTTCAGTCATTCTTTTGTGGATTGATGTAGTTCTAACGGATTTTACAGTTGAATAGCTAGAGATGGGTTGGTATACAGACTTTCTTGTTGATATAAAAGGAATATATAAGAAAGCATTGACTGATGCATCTCTGGAGACATCATGCAAGAGCTTAAATTAGTCCTCTTTTTTAAGAGAAACTTGGATCTCAAGCACTAATTTTGTGTAATGACAGACCAAAGGAAAAACTAACAGGCTTGCTTTCTTTAGAAATCCTTCAGTAGGCTTTGAAGAGGGGCCTTGCTAACAGCACCATGTACAAGGGCAAAAAGATGACCAAAATGCTGCTGAAAAATGTTTTAAATTCAGAGCAATGGGATAGATGAGTAAGCTGGGACTGGCAGCCTTTCCAAGCAGTATGTGAGGCTGTTTTCTTATGTCTAATTATTGGAAGTGCTTTTCTCAGAGACATGGTGATCTGAATGACCAATTAGAGACAGTGGCTCCCCTTGAGTCTGGAGGGGTGTCGGTGGGAGCTTCAACCCCTCTCTTTCGTTCTGGTCTCCTAACCCCGCTTCAGCTGCTGTGTGTCCACCTGCATGCAGACCTGGTGCTGGTGCCCACATGTGGATCCCTGTAGCAGGGCACACCAGTGACAGCCCTCTCACGGACAGCAGGTCCCAAACCTTTCCTGCACATCCTACTTCTAGCAGAAGATTGGCTTTTAGAGCCTGTAGCTGCACCCTTAGCATTTTTGCTAAATCATGCTCTTCCAGTGTATAGTTTACACTCTCACAATGCTTTGCAACTCTATCCACAAGATCCGTCTCTACATTGAATGTGTTTTGTCCTTTGATCAAAGCTTCTGCTGACAGCATGCTTGGCTAGGGACACACCAGCTCACAGACCAGGGTATATGATGGCAAAAGCAGTGTGTTTTGCTCTGAAAGAGCTATTATTACTGCTTGCGTTTCCAATCGCAGAGCTGGACTTCTGCTTGCTACTTTGGATTCCAAACCCATAATTACTGGCTGCTGCCTCTGCTGTGAAACACTTCATTAAGTCTTTAGAGTCATTAAGGATTTTCAGGAAATTTATGGGAGCTCAGGTCATGTTGCCTGTTTGTTTATGTAGCCCAGGATCTGCCAAAAATGTGGCCTGTAGTGTTTCTGTAGTGAAGCCTGCGCTCACCCCCATCTGTTTTAAGAGACTGATGGAAATGGCCTGTACCATCTTATCTTGCCTTATCTTTGCATGAGCTGTTGTAGGCAGTGGAGTGAGCCCTGTATCAAAGAGCAGAGAATGATCCCAGCAAAATTAAATGAAGCTGTTGGATTTCTTGCTGGAGACATTGACCTCTAGGAGTAGGCAAAGTCTGGACACTGGTGCTATAAAGCTCAGCTATAAAGCTGCCGCTGCTTGCAGAGGGAATAAGGATTGAGCTCAGAAGTAAGTTTCTTACTTACTCAGATTGAGTAACTAAGAAAAACTTACTAAGGATTGAGTAAGAAACTTGGGAGTTGGTAATCCAACCATGACACAAGCGTTTTTAGGGACCATTGTTTTCTCCTGCCTTGGATCTGAGGGAGGCAAGGGGAGTTTGGGGCTCAATGGTTGTGTGAGTCACACAAGGTGCACCTTTATGTGGATTCCCGCCTGACTGAGGAGCATTAGTATTCAGCAGGATGGCTCAAAGCTGCAATTCATGACCTAAATCTCATAATTTAATTTATCTGCTCCTCGTTTTTCTTTTTTAAGACAAAATATACACTTTGGTCTTTGCAAATGCTCTGTTGTGTCCCAAACATGTGGCATCAAACATGACTTGCCCAGTTGTCACACAGACATGTCTGCCATGCTAAGCCAGCTTAGCAATGGAAGTCAACCTACCAATATATTGTACTGTGACGATAGCATTTAGGGGCAAGTTTGCAGTCCATTTGTAAGGTAGGTGTTATTACAGATCTCAGGGCTACCTTTTTACTCTGCTGTTAGAGATCTATATCTTTAAAGCTGGAATCAGGTGTCCAAACTGGCAACATTCAATGTAAAATAATTGTGTCTTGGTCTGTAGAACATTCATTTATTACAGGATTAAAAGCACTCATACTGAGGAAGGCCAGTTTCAATTACAGTCTCTCTATAATCATGTGCAGCACAGTCTGAAGATAGCTTTACAGCTACTGGCTCACTTCTTCTGACACCAGTCCAGTATGGTCAGTACTAATGTCAAAGTGCAGGGACTGAAGGCTATCCCTACAGAAAAGGCTTTTGGAACAGAAAATCCCAGTGTTTCTGCAAGCAAGCCAGACTAGTGTGTCTGCATCTACACTGCTGTGTGGCTTTGCAGCCAAACTGCATTATTTATCTCTGGGTGCTCCCTGGGATAGAGTTGTGGGCCTGCCCTCTGATTTTAAGTGCCCTTAGCAGCATAGATATCTGCTGCAGGCTGGTTCTCCAGCTGACTTGGAGCTGATAACCTCTGTCTCTCCCATTTGGACATGCAGTGACAGCACATGTACAGCATCAGACAGATGCAGTGGTCTGGGGTCTTTCCCAGTGCTTCTTGGGATTGCCTGCCAGGTCAACAGCCTGAGCTCAGCTAGATACGGAAACGCTAGCATCCACCTCTGGATCTTGGTTCTGCCTCAAGGTGCTCCAGAGACTCCAAAGGTAAGTACAAGATTGGCACTTGTCCAGTAATACAGACACATTTTCCAGTATTCTTGTGTTAATGATAATTATAGCCAGCTATGGCCCAGAGCCTATAAAGCTTTCCATCCTCATTTGTCTTTACAGATCAATAGGTGTGTAGTGTAGGCTAGTAATGATGCTATTATCTGTGAATTTCAAGGATGTAAAAACCCATGCCAGCACAGGATTACATAGCTCCTGACTCTCAAACCTTTAACAGGCCACTAGTTTCTCTTTCTCACCAGTGTTAATCAGCACAACTTTGCTGACACAATGGAAGTGTCTGCAAAAGCAAAGGCGGCTCTGCCTTGGCAGCGTGCCTCAAAGAGCTCCAGGCAGGGGAGGATGAGATATACCATACGCCTCCATTTCCTGATTTGCAGTATATCAAGATATAGACAGATCTTTATTTTTTGATGTGAAAGCAGAATGAAAAACTAGGTTAAATCAGTCTTGAGGGATATTAAGCCAGTTCTCAGGGAGCCTATGCAATTATTATGC